GATGACATTGGCTCAAGAAAATGTGAGTGTCCATTTAAGTTGTGTGGTTATCTGTTGGCAAATAACAAATATAGATTTAATGTGATATGTGATTTACATAACCATGACATGTGTGAAAAATTAGTCGGTCATCCAATTGCATGTTGCCTCATGCCGGAAGAGAAGGAATGTGTTTCAAACATGACATTAAATATGGTGCAACCAAAAAACATATTTGTAAGTTTAAAGCGTAAAAGACCCAGAAATATCGCAACTATCAGGAAAGTCTACAATATTCAGGCCCAAAATAACAAGGCGTTGAGTGGGGATACAACTGAAATGCAACAACTTTTGAAACTTTTGAATTATAACAGTAATGTGGCTAGGTACCGAATGTACAAGGATGGAGTAACTGTTAGAAATATATTTTAGACTCATTATGATTCCATCTAGTTGTTCAACACCTTTTCTATTGTGTTCATTATTGATTCAATATATAAAATCAACAAGTATGAACTTACATTATTAGAAATTATTGGCTTTACCTCTACTGAGAAGACTTATTCTGTCGACTTTGCGTTTCTAGAGAACAAAAAAATAGGAGAATGTTACTTGAACTTTAGAGGTGTTTCGGGCAATGTTGAAAGACAAAGAAGACATGTTGAAAGTAATTGTTTAAATATGTTGACAGTATAATTTTGGATTAGGTAAAGGAGAAGATTGTATTTGTTTTAACCGATCAGATTAGACACCTTGGAAGTACATTAACAAACTGAGTTGAGTCTGTTCACACTACACTGAAGAATTAGTTGAAAAATAGCAATGGTGATTTGTGTAGAAATTAGGATTGTGTGAACCAAATGATCAAAAATTGTCATAATGAGATACATACATCATTTGGTCATAGCATCATAGTGTTAGAGCACATATTCAAAGGCAACAATCTTTATTCTCAGTTGGTCGGCAACATATCTCGAGCAGGACTGAATTATATTTTTCACGAAGCTAAATAAGCTGAAACTGTAGGTTCCGATAGTTTAAATTGTGGTTGCACACTATGAAAACCTATAGTATTCCATGTGATTGTCTTATATCTAAGAAGGTGAAACTCAATAGCCTGATACAAATGGATGAATTTTGCCCTCACTAGAAAAAGGATCAGGTTTGATAATGATGGAGTCATGAAAGATGGTAAATCGAATATCTCTATCTCAATCGAATGGAAAGTGATACGAGAGAGACTTTTGAAAGTCGGTGACAATGTGAAACTCCACATCAATGAGTAATTGAGGAAGATTGCTTATCCGAAAATCACAGACTTGAAACCACCTTCTCAACCAATAAAAAAAGAAAGGTGCTCCTAAGAAGGTCAAACCTACACCGAGTGACAATTCAACGATGCGGTCTCCTTCATTATTTGAACATGTTGACAAACTTTTTCCCGATTCTCTAACTCTAAAATCTCAACAAAAAAGGGTTTTCAAATGAGCTCGCATTAGAAATCCACCTCCTTCACCGCCTCCACCAAAAATCTCATTCATTGATGAGATATCGATTTTTATACACAAATACATTGAATAGGTCATCAATGTTGAGAGTGACGATAACTACGGTTTTTGAGTTGTTTCTGCTTTGTTCAGTAAAAGACAAGAGGATCACACACTTGAGCGAGATTAAAAGAGAATCAAATAAACAAAAGTCAAAAGAGGTACCACCCATAGATATAGATTTAGACAGTGACAAATATTTCGGTTCATTTTAGTTTTCATTCAACAATGTATTGTGTGTAATCTTGTATTAATATTAATGATGTCTAATATCACATTTACGAATATGTCAATACATTTTAAAGTTTCCCAAAAACAATTGCATTTAATACAAGTTTTGTTTCTGTCTGGAACAAAATTTTATTCTGTTTTGAGTGGTTCCAGAAATACATCTCTGAAATAACAGAATAAGGTGGTACTGGATATACATCTCCGAAACATCCTTTGATACAAGATAGAATTTATGAGATCCATATTTGTCTACAACTACTATAAGTATGGGCTCTTGTCTTATGTTTCATACGAAATACACCAGAATGAACATCAATTGACAATGTCGCAAATGTCTACTTCAATGGCATAAAATCCTCAATTGAATTTAAGATCATTGAGTACGCCTCTCTTGTTGATCTGAAACACATACTGCAAAATCTTCTACCATACTTCGACAATCGAAAAAAAATTGTGAAGCTCGAGTACCATTAACCGTCGATTGACATCAAAGGAAAGATTGAGTTCAGCAACTTTGAGTTGAAGTCATGTGGAGATTTAAGGAATATGTGGAATACTTTTTCCGATTTGAAATAAAAGTTATGATCGAGGTGGATGCGACGATTTCGAGATCGGTCGAAAATATTATAAATGTGTTGAAACGTGCACTTGAATATTAAAATGTAATGTTTGATTTATATTAATGATTGTGTATGTAATGTCTTGTTTTTTATGTTATCAATGCTAATTTTATTTTGTCAAACTGTATTTTTTTTATTTTCTGATTATTTCTGGTTTAGTATGATCCTGAAATACATTTTCATATGGTTTAAGAAGTTACATCTTTAAAAGGTAAATATACACAAAGTTGTAGCATAACTCAAAATTAACATCTATTGTATGTGTTTGAGGTGCGTATAAAGATACATCTTCAATTTTTATAAATATTGAGTTTTTCACAGAGGTGTCATAGTAATATATAAGATTCGCTAAATAATCTTTTTTTTTTTAATATATGGTTTAATTTTAACAAATTTTAGATCTTGAATAGTAAGTCACCTTACATATTCTAAAAAAACAGTTTGGGATATCAAAATCTTTGAAATCTCTTTCACAATGACACCGAAATCTACAATGGATTTTAAAAAACACAAACCGAACCTATCCAATATTTTTGGATTGGACCAACCCAAATTATCTTGTTGACCATGAACCATGGCTGTCACTAAGGGACACCACTAGCTAGTAGGACCATCCAAGACACTAATCAGATATGAGCTCAATACTAGTAAGCATGAGGGACAAGAGCCAAGACAACATTCATTCAAATTTCAAACAAGACAAACCACATTCCAAAAATGACACACTACAAAGATTGTTTTTTACTACAAAGAAAAAGGTAACCTTACTTGTAAAGTCAAACACTGACCCCTCGTACTTCTCAATATATAGTTCCTTTTGTGACAAATGCATGTGCCTGTTCCTTACAACTTAGAACTCATAATAATAATAATAGTAATAATCCAATGCATTCATTTTATTGCTTTTCCACTTTCATCACTATTTTACTCTTTCTTTAAATTACACTCATTTCTATCAAACACAATCTTTCTTTCCTTCACATTGCTAAGAAACAAAGCAATCTCATATTTTTCAAATGTCACAATCTTCTTTGCCTATTTTTGCAATTGTTGTACTAAGTATCGTAGCCATTGTTTTCATATTTATCAGCTACTTGATTCTTGTGACCAAATGTTACTCAAACTGGTGGCATCCATTGAGATGGATATCAATCCTACCACCTTCGCAGAATGAAGAGCCCTTCATAGCGTTCTCGCCGAGGACATGGAACCGCGGCGTCGACGAATCCGTCATCCAAGAAATCCCAACGTTTCAGTTCACGAAAGGAGAAGGCGGTGACGATCGTCAAAGTGTCAAAGGATGTGTGGTTTGTTTGAATTCTTTTCAAGAACAAGATATGCTGAAAGTGCTTCCGAATTGCAGCCACCACTTTCACTTGGATTGCATTAACATCTGGCTTCAAACAAATGCTAACTGTCCTCTATGTAGAACAAGCATTTCAGGAAATATGCAGTTTCCGACGAACCGTAACATCGCAGCGCCAAGTTCTTCACCACAGGATTCTCAGTTATTCTCTAACATGGGTAGTGATGAAGATTTTGTGGTGATTGAATTATGGGGAGAAGGAGAGCATAGGGGAACAATGTCTCATCATATGCAGCAAGAAAGAAATGAATCAAGGGAAAGCATAGCATCATCACTGAGTAGAACTCACTCTAGAGCTAGAAACATGGAGAAGGAGAAGATGGTGGAGTTGAAACCATGGAAATGTCACCGTGTTTCCATCATGGGTGATGAGTGCATTGATGTTAGAAAAAAAGATGAGCAGTTCTCTATTCAGCCTATTAGAAGATCTTTCTCATTGGATTCTGCAAGTGATAGAAAAGCTTACTTGGAAGTTCAAGATATCATCCGACAGAATAATAGGCATCATCAAAATGAGGATCGTGACAGTGAAGATTGTAATAGTAGCAGGGGTAGAAGATCATTCTTTCCATTTCGTTATGGTAGGGGATCAAAAACTTCATTGCTTCATTGATAATAATACTGTTTAATTATGTAAACTTGTGATGCAATTAGAAGAGTTTTTTTTTTCCCCCTTAATGTTGTATTCTGAACTTTCATTCCAATTTTGCTTGTGAGAACTTCAAATTTTAGTGGGGTCAGTGAGGAGTGACATGGACGATATAAAGAAAATAAAAGACAATGCTTTAATAGAGTTAGTATGACATTATTAGAAGTATTCTCAAAAATAGAAGAGGCGTTGCTTTTAGTGTGTCATTACTTGAAATCACAAATGAACGCAAATGATTACTTGCACGCACGCAGCTTTCATTCATATTCAATTCATGGTCCCTCTGTCCTCTCTTTTAGTGTCATTTGGGCCCAAAGATTGTAAAGATTGCAGGGTATGCAATCAATTGGAAGACAGAGAATAGAGGGACCTAGAGAATGAGAAACCACTAGAAAATTTATCAAAGACATTTTTAAGTTCTAACATCAAGCTGAGGCACAATTAGCAGTCTAACCTCACTTAAAGAATTTATGTACAGCAAAGAATAGAATTTCCAAGTAACTAAAATAGAAAGGGACAATATCATGAGTTGGAAATTCATGCATTCCATTTAATTGAAAGCAAGAACCTCCCTAACAAATAATGTGGGAGAGGGGCATAGCTATTATTCAAAAGCTTGCATTAGGGGTTTCTGGAGGTCTGCTATATATATCACCAAAATGTAGATTAAATTCCCCTGCCTCTAAGTCATCAGTCAGTGCTGGGCTAGATAACTTGTTCCGATGATCTCTCCAGTAAGAGTGTTGTTCTTGATCTTGATCCTCGGCACCTCTATCAGAAAACTTGTCATGATAATTATATGCCTTTTGGTCATTGAAATCTGGAGGTTCGAAGAAGCTTGTCTGAGCCTTTCCACTATGCAGGCGACTTCTAGCCCACTCTGTTTGGTCATTCAAATCTGGAGGCTCAAAGACGCTTGTCTGAGCCTTTCCACTATGTAGGGGATTTCTAGCCCACCCTGTTTGGTCATTGAAATCTGGAGGCTCAAAGAAGCTTGTCTGAACCTTTCCACTATGTAGGCGACTTCTAGCCCACCCTGTTTGGTCATTGAAATCTGGAGGCTCAAAGAAGCTAGTCTGAGCCTTTCCACTATGTAGGCGACTTCTTGCCCACCATTGGCTTCTAGTAGCTTGGGGAAGTTCATTATAATTTTGATCCTGAATAAGGCTCTCCCTGAAGATGGGAGCTGATGTGGAAGCCCCAAGATGAGATCCAGCCCGTTCCTCATGGAACTCGTTTGAGTACTCTTCATACTTGGGTTCGTTCTGTTGCAAGTTGGAGGGCATTGAATAGTCTCTGGAATAATGTTCTGTTACTCCATATGGTTCTAATGAAACATCACTCAAAGTTGCTTCATGAGGTTGAGACGTGTAGTACCAATCAAGAAGATAGGGGTGATTGTTCTGGTTGGCTTCAATCAGCCACAAAGAACCCAAGTGATTGCCGGTTACAAGAGTACTGTATGGCATTTCCCCAGATGGAAACCTGTTTCTGTCTCCATTGTCTCCCATATTGGGACTACCCCTCCACATTCTAGAAGATGAAGATCTGTGTCTGTTTCCATTTACTGATAACTTCTGCTCTCTGAATGTTCTTAGATTTAGAAAAAACTGCTTCCCCTGAGCATTTGGTTCCCATGATGGGTAACTACTCTGAAAGCTGTAATGACAACAGAAGATTAAATTAATAAATAAATAGCTAAATAAAACAGTTCGAATAGGCCTGGTTCACAAAAATTCTGAGCAAGGAGTGGTCTAGGGTTCTATTTTTACATATAAACTAAAGTCAAACTAAATGTAAACACTATTTTATATATATATATATATATATATATATATATATATATATATATATATATATATATATATATATATATATATATATATATATATATATATATATATATATAGTGTTTACATTTAGTTTGACTTTAGTTTATATGTAAAAATAGAACCCTAGACCACTCCTTGCTCATATGTATATGTATGTATGTATATATATATACATATATATATATATATATATATATGTATATATATATGTACATATATATATATATATATATATATATATATATATATATATATATATATATTAGGGGTGGCAAAATGGATGGATTGGATGGATATGGATTGGATTGCTAATGGATGGATTAAAACAATCCATTAGTCCATTAAAATCCACTAAAATTTTATTAAAATTATCCAATCCGATCCATCCATTAAGAATAAAATCCATCTAATCCATCCATTAACATATTTTTAATGGATGGATATCCATCCATCCAACTTTTTTTTTAATTTCGTAAAAATAAATATTTTTTTTTCAAAAACAAATCAGTTTTTTATTCTGAAAAAAAAAAAACCGATTTTTTTTCCAAAAAAAAAAGTCGGTTTTTTTTTCGAGAAAAAATTTTATTTTTTTTCGAAAAACAAATCAGTTTTTTATTCAAAAAAAAAACCCGATTTTTCAGAAAAAAAAATTGATTTTTTTTCCAAAAAAAAAAGTCGGTTTTTTTTCCGAAAAACAGATCAGTTTTTTATTCTAAAAAAAAAAACCGATTTTTTTCAGAAAAAAAATTTTGATTTTTTTTCCAAAAAAAAAAAGTCGGTTTTTTTTTTCGAAAAACAAATCAGTTTTTTATTCTAAAAAAAAACTGATTTTTTTCCAAAAAAAAAGTCGGTTTTTTTTTTCGAAAAACAAATCAGTTTTTTGTTCTGAAAAAAAAATTTTTTTTTTTTCAGAAAAAAATATAATTTTTTAATTATTTTTAAAAAAATCTAATTTTAAAAAAATAAATCTAACGAAAATAAAAATAATCCATTGGATCCTTAAAATATGTGGGATGGATTGAATCAATCCATGCATATGCATGGATGGATTGAATCCATCCATGCATATAAATGGATGGATTTAATCCAATCCATTAACTTATTTTTTATGTGGTGGATGGACTGGATGGATTTTTTGATGGATGGATTGGATGGATTTTGCCTTAATGGATTTAATTGCCACCTCTAATATGTATATGTATATATATATATATATATATATATATATATATATAATATATATATATATATATATATATATATATATATATATATATATATACATATGTATATATATGTATGTATATACATATGTATATGTATGTATGTATATATATACATATGTATATGTATGTATGTATATATATATATATGTATATATACATATACATGTATATATATGTATATGTATATATACATATACATATGTATATATACATATGTATATGTATGTATGTATATATATACATATAGATATACATATCTATATGTATATGTATATATACATATACATATATATACATATACATATATATATATATATATATATATATATCTATATACATATGTATAAATATACATATATACATATATATATATATATATATATATATATATATATATATATATATATATAACTGATGAAACTTTTTCCTTCACCGGGTTAGGTTACAAATTATACATTTCTCGATGAATTCATTCCTCTTCCAACCCCCACCCCACCAAAAAAAAGCATATAAGAGCAATATTTACTCCATTGCAACTGCTATAAAAAGTTGAAGATGTGATTGCAGACAGCAAATGAAAGAGAACCAAAGTCCTCAGAGGTTTGTTGAAACAACCTCAATGAATACACAATGTGTGGATTTGTCTTTTGATTATAATAACAAGCTTTCCAAGACCATACCTCAACAACGATTTCTCCATCTTTCCTTGTGAACTTCTCCGGCTACGAGGGGCATTGTATGGGGAACCGTAATGAGTGTTCCCATGCTCTTGAAAATCAAAGGTGCTTAAACTGTGACAACATCAAGGATATAACAATGTAATCAATAATTTCTACCATTAGCACATGGAAATTGAGACACCCCTTCCCCCGAGACGAAATCATAAAAGTCCTAGAGGATAGCCAGAAATTAGACAGGTACATCGCAAAACAAAACAATCCATGCTAACCTGCAAACATGCCCAACACCTTCGACATTTACAGTGAAATCAGCAATGTACTGCAAGATATCATCAACTCGCTGCAAAATGAAGAGAGAAAAAGAAACTAAAGTGAAATTTATGCTTAGATGCCATATAAATAAACTCCAAGTACGAAAAAATGACCTTTGGGACAATAAATAGAAAATAACCTTTGGGACAACAAATAGAAGTAAATATGGAGTGAGGAAAATTGAAGCCATATCCTCAAGTAACATCATTCCAGTATACTGCGCCATACGAAGAAATTCATGAGCATGAGAAGTATTCAAACCTAAGCAATCGTGTAAATAAATAACAAATAAAGGTCAATCTAACATAATGTGAATGCATTAAACAAACACCTCAGGTAGGGTACCTGGAATAAGGTTTCAAACTCAATGCGAACCAGTTCGGTAATTTCTTTGCCACGCCATCTCTTTGGCATATAATGTGTATGTTGAACCACCATTGATATTGCTCCCTCAGGATTTAATACAAGAAGCTCATTTGCAATTGCAGCCCGGCTAATAGCCGTTATAGTTCCAAAAACAGCAGCATACCAAAACAAGTTCCGACCAAATATCTGCAATGAAATTTAGGAAAAAATAAAAACCTTCAATGACTACCATGGCATTAAGTAAACTTAGTCAAAAATTTAACAGAAGTTCATTACATGACCCTCTAGAAGAGACTCCTCGAGAAAAGCAATGATTATCAGAACTGCAGCAAATCCACCGGATACAAAAGATATGAATTTTGCAATGATAGATATGATAGGTGTTGGAAATTGCTTGAGATAATCAGAAGCATGCAATACACTGTTATTAATCCGATGCCTGAAGAGATGATCCACCTGTAACCCAAGTTATTGATAAACTTTAGCATTAAAAGTAAAAGAATATAAGTTACATGATGTTAAAAATGATAACTAGGCACAACAGAAGACATATACTAATGCAAATAAAAATCAATCTCGAAAAATGTCATATACGACCTACATGGCTACTGTTCGGTAATATAAAGGTTCAATCGATTTACGTGGTAACGAAGTCAAATAATTACATTAAAGAAACTTAAAATTCTCATCAATGTTCAAGCTGTTGCAAAAAATATGCAATAAGCCAGCTAAGATGGGTGACTAGGCTAGAATAATACATCACATGGTCACTTATTAACCACTTTTCAAACATCATCAACTAGTAAGTGTTGAATTTTCCTAAACTAAATATTTTTTTTATCAAGAATTCCTTTCTTGTAATTTCCCTAAATTCTCTAATAAGGATTTTCATCAATAGTTGTGTGCAGCTTCAAATCTTTCTTCTTCGATGGTGATTTTTTCAATATATGAACAGAGAAAGCATGGAATAAATACACAACCACTGATGGGCATCTATCAAAGCTTTTTGGATAACTGTTGCATGTATGTTGCCGTTTATTTCCTGGAAATAAACTGAATCAAATATGCACTTGGTCTTTGACACTTTATTAAAGTGTCTATGGACACTGAAAGCAACAAAATGAGTTTAAGGCAACGACAGATGAGCTGAAAAAATGGAAGACCAAGAAAATGAATAAAGATACCTCATTGAATTCCCTAAACATCCACCTAGACAAATTTGACCATCTTCGAGACGATGCAGTGCTTGGATGATTATAAAATTGCTCAGCATGCTTCAGAAATAGATATGCCAGCATGAATATGACCAGGAATGGAGAGAGTAAAAGCATTGCAAACCCAACTACCATAAGCCTTTTCTTTAATGTCTTTGGATTTGACACAAAATCCCTTCTGACACAGAAGTTCCTGCAGAAAAAGCCATGTTCAAAGGAGAATGAAAATATGTAAGAGTTAATTATATGAAAATTCTCATATTAATTACTTTATCGAACCACCAAATAGGTCAATCCAAATACATTCATGTCAAAGACAAATACAAAATAAAACAACCAACTCCTATCCAACTATGAAGTTACAAGCGTAATGCCTAGACTAACATGAAAGTATATCTTAAGCATCAGATATAAATTGTATCCTTCTATAAGACAGTAGTGTGCATCTAAATAGTCCTTCCATCCTTCAAACAAACAAACCGATTTCACAAAAATGGTTAAAAGAGAAAATTGGAGAACAAGCATCAAAATATAATAATTCATATACATATACATTGTCATTAGTACCAAATTACAAAACCAAATGATATTGAACACTCTCATTATACAAAAATCAATATACCGATCAAACATGCTCTGCAGGATGCACCAATTTAAAGTCCATTCAAGGGTCTTGGTAAGTACTAAACGATGTTGTGCTCCATCAGGACTAGATTGAACTGTAGGACCAGCACCTGGAAACCATTGTGAAATGGGGAAAGCCAGCACACCCTTGTTGAGCATTCCGATTAAGTAGTTCTCCTTCCGCATCAGTCTCATGACTATATCATGGACAGAAAGATCCTTTAGCACGCATAGTTTTCGAGTACTCTGAACGAGAACAACTTTGTCAACAACTGTGGCCCAGGGCATAGTTTGAATTTCGTTGTCAGTAACATGGAGACTGCAAGACAGCCATGGTATGTTATGACAAAACAAAACATGTGAAACTGTGGAAAATTAACCATTTTCTTCAATACATTTTGGTTGTTCATCATTCATACTTACCTGTTGTAGTAAAACTGACGGATTTCCAGAGTATCCCTTAGTTGAGCAAAGAATCTTAAAAAGCAAAATATCCAATAGATTGAAAAAATTCCCAAGTATCCAACAATAATAGCTTTGGTAAATGTCAGTGGGGTTAAAGGGTGTTGATTAAGAGCTTCTTTGCTAAGATCACAGGGCTTAATTCCAGATTCGACTGCATCCATCCCACATTTTGCATTACGGAGTCCATTCCAATCAACATATAATAAAAAAAATCCTGAAAAGCATATGGTGAAACCCAGACTTAGAAGTTCAACAATCCACTTTATAACAATGCACCATAGCCCTTTCTCACAGTAGTAACAGTAAAGTCTTTCAAAGAAGAGATCCAAATCAGCAATTGGTTCTACATATACACTTTCGCTATTAAGGAGATCTGAAGGGCTCTCACTTCCTGGACTTGGGATTTTTCCGTATGTAGACAATTCAATCTCTGATGAATCATTAAGTAAACCTGTTGTCAAAGATGAAGGACCTCGCTTTTTCCAATTGAATATACTAAAAGCACCGGAACTACTTGGTCTGCTAAACATTGTTCACAGACACTAACAGTTGGTGTAAACAGCCAGTCCATTCCCCAAAGGCCAAAACGGTTATAACAACACTCTACATTCATGACCGAGTAAATATTAGAATCTTACAAAGGCAAACAAACAGATATTGGAAGAGACTATGTAGTTGCAATCCTATTTGGCAACTCAGATCAACAACAGAAAAATAAAAGAAAAGACAGAGTATGAATCACCAGCCAGATATGGGCCTTGCATCATGTGCTAGTTGGCAAAACAAAATATTGTCGATAGTAGCTAGACTAAGATTTCTACAAGCTAATGAACATCATACATACCTGATCATGAGAAAAGTCATACGAAACTGTTAACACCAAAATCCGAAAATGATTTGAAAGGGCGAGCAGCACCTGCAGCGACATCCAAAAATGTCAGCATGAAACCATTTCACAAAAGCACATAAAAAATTAAAGTTTGTGAAAATAAGTTAGGAAGTCCTAAGCTATTGATGCCAAATTGACTCATGTTGCACTTATCAATTTTATGATCATAGGTCGGTCAGTTGGTTTGTTCAAAATTGGCTCCATAAATTTGGTAAATCAACTTATCTCGGTTCACAAATTCATGGAGACAATTTTGAACAAACCAACCGACCAATGATCATAAATAGATAAGTGCAACATGAGTCAAATTGGCATCAATGTCATGTCATTTCAACTACTACTAGTAATCCCCTTTTAAATGTCGTCGATATAGATGAGACTACCTCCAATCCAAACCAACATTCAGGAAGGGAAGCCAAACGACACTAGTAATTTCTATCTACAATAAGCACCAGCCAAACTCTAAAAGATGACTATTCATTGATTGCAACTGATTTCATTGACATCAACAATTCGCACAGAATTTTTTCCTCCGGCCGCTAATGACTATCGACTAATTGTAATTCACAACTGCTTTCATTGAAATTAACAATTTGCACATAGTTTTTGCCTCAAGCTACTAATTCCAAACCCTAAAATCATTGTATTTTGTAATTGTATACTAACTTCCATAAACATCATACCAAAAAAAGGAAAAAAAAAAATCAGCTATATTATATTTCCTCTCATTCCTACAAGTCTACAAGTCATTCAAATAAATAGTAACATCAATTCCTGCACAACTTCTTTATCTAAACTGATTCAACAAAACAAAATATTCAAAAAAAATTGCAAACCAGCACGGAAATCATGCATGCGAAATACAATAGTTATAGCACGTGTATATGTATTGATCAAAGGTTAATAAATAAATAAATAAATAAAAATGAAAAAGCGAATAGATATGAAAAAGAAAGGGATAAAGTGACGTACGTTGAAGTTATAGAAGGGTTTGGAGTTGCGAGGTGATAATGGAACAGTAACGGATGAATCGAGTGAAGTAATGAAATTGGGGAAGATGAAGTGGAAGTTGAAGAATCGCGAGAATAATGAAAGAATAACGCAAAGGGAAAAGAGGAAGATGAACAAGAGGGATTTTTGTTTCTAGTTGCGTGGAGGAAGATGAAATTACAGCAACAATATTAATATTATTATAATAATCATAATTTTAATTTATATTTTAATTTATAAAGTTTGCGTTACGAAGGAGCATAGCTTTTTGTTCTTTGTTCTTGCTTTTCTTCAATCGCTTCTTCTTCTCCTTCCCAACAAGATTGCCCAATTGAAACGCCGCGTTTCGCTCGCTAAACGAAAACGGGTCGGTTCGGGTTGTCCATCGTTAGCTCTATTGTATATTAATTGAAAACTTTATATGTTTCTTTAATTAAAAAGATTATTTTGAGCGTGAACTGAATTTTAAAAAGTTACGTGCTAAGTTAATTTTTTTTTTGTTTTTTAATGACAATCGAAGTACTAATTACTGTTTTTATCATATAATAGCTTGCTATATTTGTTTTGTTTTGTTGTTTTTCCAACAAATTTTCTCAAACAAACATAACATAGTAGTACTGTGGAAAATATTCATATTTATGTTTTGGTTCGAATTCAAAAATCATAATAAAATGTTTTAACTCTTAAAGTCATCATTATAATTGAAAAATTTTATTTAAATATCTCGATTTTTTAAAATAAATTCTTAAAATAACTTAATTTTTAAACTATTTTCTAAAGTACCTCACTTTAGAGTATCGCCGCCTGAGTGTAGACGTCATACTAATTGGCGACCTTTCGCAAAGAATAAGGGTTGTTGTCGATTGGATTGGAGACAACACATGATGTTGTCAATCCAATTGGCGACACAGTGTATATGCTAAAATGGTGTCGCCAATTCAACTGAAGACATATATTGCATAATCTTATTATTTTATCAGTCGTGTCCATTTCTGTTCTTATACGTGTGTTGTTTGAACGTCCTTTTTTCTTTCTTCACATCTCATTGTTGTGTCAAACTATGTCCTCTTGGTATGGAGGTCAATATTCCTCCATTGTGTCGTACCTCGAAAAATACGATCCTCGTGATGGAAGCGGAAAAAAATTTCAAACAGAATCGCCACCGAATTTTATTCATTCCAAAGAAAGAATAGAAAAATATCGATAAAACCTTTAAAGAGATAAGAACATGGTCATCGCAGCCAAATTTTAGGTTCGGGAGTCGATTACACAATAGGGAACGTATTAGCACCCTTTACGTCTGTTGCACTCAACGAAAACCTCTTGATTCGATTCGAGAGAAACGTTAGCTAGGTTTGTTTTTTTTCTTCTAATAATTCACTTCGAAGAGGAAAAATCAGTGGTTTTTATTAGGGTGCTCGCCAAGGATTGGGATCCTTGTGCCTATGTATTCCCTCGTGCAATGGAAAAGTCAGAGCATCATAGTTCGTGGTACTACGATTGGTTGATTGTTTTATCAAGCAAGTGTTTAGTTAGGACTCAACATTGTTCTTTTAGAAAATAGTTTTAGTCGCACGGTGGCGAGAAGTTGAATTAACGTGTTTGTATTTTTATTGGGTGACGATCACTTGAAACTTAAGAAAGGCTATTTAGGCCCAAGCAATTGGGAAAGTGAATCGAAGATTCGACTCTCTCTCCTTTTCACCCTTAAATATGAAAGAATTTCGATATAGTTAGAGTAATTTACGATTGACGTTTACTCGAGGCTTAAGAAAGGCTCATCGGGGCCAAGTAATCAAGAGAGTGAGTCAAAGACTTGACTCTCTCTCTTTTTCATCTTAGTATTGGAAAAATAGTTTGGTTTCCTTTGTTGTAAAAATAGTTTGATGTAGAATCAGGTTATAAAATTTTTTAGAGAAGACAATTATTCGAACTTAAGAAAGGCTCATCGGGCCCAAACAATTGAGGAGAGGAATCGAAGACTCTATTTCAGCTCTCTTTTCATCTTTAATGAAATTTGGTCTAAGTATAGTTAAATTTATTAGGTTAACTTTAATAAAGTGCTCGATGTTGATCGGGGTTTGAATTTGTGTACGAAACGATTAAGGTTTGAATTAAATGGAAAGAAGGTCCTAGTGGGTTTAGGGTAAGATCGATGGCGAGGTAAAAGCACTCGACTTATCAAGTAGTTGATGGAACTTGATATATGGATCAAGTATGCTTGAGAATAGGTTAATGATTAATTGAATTTATTTTGAAAATGTTTGACGTTGGGTCAAGCTTGTTTGTTCATTTGAAAAAAAGTTGATTTTAATCTTGTGTTAAAACTATCTAAGTAAAACAAATATTACATCTCATGGGAGAGAGATACATTTGCTCAAATGGGATCTATGTCAAGCCATAATTAAAGTAAATCAATCACACATATACATGCAAACAAAAGTGTGAAATATGCAACAAATATCGTTGTATAAAGGCTAAAAGGAGGCTATATGGTTGATGGCGATCGTGAAAATAATCGACTTAAAAGGTATTTGAAAGTGGCTTGACTTTACATCAAGATATTAGTTTGAGAATGATTGGTTTGCACAAACATGTGGGGAATGACATAAAATAATCAAAGCAGGATATCAAGCATAAAAGCATAATGTATGAGCATCACATAAACAAACTTAAATTAGGCAAAAGGGTAAAAGTGTCAATCAAATCCAACATACCAATTTAATTAATTAACAAATTAATTATCTAAAACTAATTAGTAATTCAATTAAAATTAAAAGGAAAAACACAAACCAAAGTTTTTAAAATTTTTAAAAATGAAACAAGTGAGATAAAAAAAAAACTCAAATAATTAATTAAATCAAACTAAAATATTTAATAAAATTAACTATTAAAATTAATTAATATTAAATAAAATGATTTAATGAAACTAATTAAAAATTGGCTAACAAAAGGTTTATGAGTTAATTAAAAGGATTTTTTAGATTTTAAAATTAAAAAAAGTTGAGTAATTAAACTTAAATAATTAAACTAATCTTTTTTAAATAAAAAATAAATAAAAATTAATTAACAGTAAAATAGAAGCAAATGAAAGTTGAATGCTTTTTTTTGTTTTTTTAAGGAAACTAACTTAAAATAATTAATTAAATTAAAATCAAATATTTCGTAAATTGATTATTTAATTGGTTAATTAATATTAAATAAAGGATTTTAATAAAATTAATGAAAATTAATTAAGAAAAATAGTTAAGATTTTTTTAATAATAATAAAAAAAATCTTCTTGAATTTTTAAAATATATTAAACAAATAAGCATAAAAAAACTAAAACAACAAATAATAAAAAGAGATGGGCCAGTATGTAAGTGAAATGAGAATGTGAACGGGAAATCCACCCCAGGCCCACCTGCTAGCAAGTCCATGCAGGGGGAGTTCACAATGGACTTTGGTCAACTAAGTTGACCCGTTGAACAAACCTTGGGCGTTGGATTGGTTACTGAGTCAAGATTAGACTCAAATCTAAGGCCAAAACTCTAGGGTTCACAGTAAGGTTTGGAGGATTCACGCACAAGATTACTAGGGGGAGTTACCTCCAGGGGACACTTGTCAAAGAGAGGGACAAGTGTCGCATCCCCACTCAGCCACCAAACACT